GAAAACAACATGTATAGACTCTTCTACAACTAAAGTTCTTTTATTAAATACTCGATAAGCTTTAGAATTTAAGGAATAACACAGAAAAATTCCTTCATCACTTTTAGCATCAAATTTGCCAAGGTTTTCTTTACCGTTGTTCAAATCCAAAAGGATGAAAATAGCTAATGTTAGGCTTTTTATTTTTGAAAATTTCATATGGAGTTTTCTTTAAAATTGGCATAATCATTACTCGATTTACAACATAACAAGCTGTGGCTTCCGCCGAAAATAACCCAAAAATATTTTGGTAAATTATTTTCACAAAGCATGGTTCTAGCCATTTATTCTAAATTTCGATTTTTCTTCTCAACAACTCCATTTTGTTAAGGGGTTCTAGGTGCTAAAAAATTATGGCTAATACCATTAGAATTACAAAACTCAATAAATTCAAGATTTTCAAATTCAGTGCCATGATCACTCCTAACACTAGTTATAGAGTAACCTTTTTCATTTTGGATTATTTTTGAAAATGTGATGAAACGTTCTAATGCTTCATCTTTAGTTCTTAAAAATAGAACCCAAGTATATCTAGAATAGTCATCTACCAAGACAAATGAATATTGTTTTCCACCCAAGCTAGTAGTCCTATTTGGCCCAAAAAGATCTATATGGATCAATTGTAATACTCTACTAGTTGATACATCATTAATGGATTTAAAAGAAACTCGCTTTTGTTTTCCTTTAGCACAAGCATCACAGATTTTATCATTATCAAATTTTAGTTTAGGCAGCCCTCAAACTAATTCTCCTTGAACTAACCATTGCAAAACACTCATGCTAGCATGTCTTAGTCTCCTATGCCATAACCAACTATCATGCTCATCCTTAGCAACTAGGCACAAATTAGTCATATCAATAGAATCTAAATGCACCATGTATATGATTCCTATTCTATGACCAATAAGCATAACCCGATTAGATGCAATGTCAATGACTTTACAACCATTAATTTCAAACATGACATTGAATCCCTTATCGCATAATTTCAAACATAACAAGCGGTATTTGTGGCTTCCGCCCAAAAATATTTTGGCAAATTATTTTCACAAAGCATAGTTCTAGCCATTTCTTCTAAAGTTTGATTTTTCCTCTCAACAACTCCATTTTGTTGAGGGGTTCTAGGTGCTGAAAAATTATGACTAATACCATTAGAATTACAAAACTCAGTAAATCCAAGATTTTCAAATTCAGTGCCATGATCACTCCTAACACTAGTTATAGAGTAACCTTTATCGTTTTGGATTACTTTTGAAAATGTGATGAATTTTTCTAATGCTTCATCTTTAGTACTTAAGAATAGAACCCAAGTATATCTAGAATAGTCATCTACCAAGACATATGCATATTGTTTTCCACCCAAGCTAGTAGTCCTAGTTGGCCCAAAAAGATCTATATGGATCAATTGTAATACTCTACTAGTTGATATGTCATTAATGGATTTAAAAGAAACTCGCTTTTGTTTTCCTTTAGCACAAGCATCACAGATTTTATCATTATCAAATTTAAGCTTAGGCAACCCTTGAACTAAATCACCTTGAATTAACCGTTGCAAAACACTCATACTAGCATGTCCTAGTCTCCTATGCCATAACCAACTATCATGTTCATCCTTAGCAACTAGGCACAAATTAGTCATATCAATAGAATCTAAGTGCACCATGTATATGTTTCCTATTCTATGACCAACAAGCATAATCCGATTAGATGCAATGTCAATGACTTTACAACCATTAATATCAAACATGACATTAAATCCCTTATCACAAAATTGACTAATACTCAATAGATTATGCTTTAATCCATTCACATATAAAATATTCTTAATTTGTATGGAAGAGGTATTACCAATAGTACCAATACCTTCAATGTGACCTTTTGAATCATCACCAAAAGTCATTTCTCTTCCATTTTTGGCGTTAAGCTCAATGGACCGGTTTTTGTCTCCGGTCATATGTCTTGAGCATCCACTATCAAGGTACCATGAATTTGGATTTGTTTTACGTGCCTTGTAGCAATGCTCCTTTTCCTTAGAATCTTCCCCGAATGCCATCAAGCACAAGTTTGCTACTTCTTGTTCCTCTTCATCGAAACCTTCTTCATTGCTCCATGTAGCCACATGAGCCTTGTGCTTATTCTTTGATTGAACCTTTCTCTTCAGTTGTGGGCAATCATATTTGACATACCCCGACTTTTTGTATTCATAGCAAATGATCTGGTCATTCTCTTTTGGTTCATTTTTAGGCCTTTATTTCGTTTGAATTTTCTTCCTCGGTAAGGTATCATCATTTTTCTGAACCGTTTGGCAAACAATGCCATTTTCTCTTCATCGTCATCTTCATCCGAATCACTCTCATTTTTTGTGGATTTGAGAGCAACTCCAATGTTTTTCTTCTTCTCCTTCTCCTTTGGTGTATCTTCAATCTTATCAAGGTCCACCTCATCTTCAAGCATCATTTCACGAGTGAGGAGTGAACCGATTAGCTCTTCAAGAGTTAAGGATGTTAGATCCTTAGACTCGATGATTGTCGTCTTCTTTGATTGCCACAATTTTGGGAGGGAGTAGACTAACTTCCTCACAAGCTTTTCATTTGAAATGATCTCTCCATATGATATTAGACCATTGACAATCGTTGAGAATCTATCCGTCATAGCTTTGATATCTTCATTTGGTTTCATCCTGAAATTTTCATAGCTATGCGTTAGAATAATAATTTTAGATTTCTTTACCTCATCGGTACCTTCATGAGTGACTTGAAGTTTGTCCCATATTTCTTTGGCGGTTGTACAAGATGAAACTCTTCCGTATTCATCTAGTCCAAGAGCATAAAATATGATATGAATGGCTTTGGAGTTGAGTTGGAACATTTTTGTCTCTCCTTCACTCCATAATCTTGGATGAGTGAGAGGCTTGAAGTATTCTTCTTCTATGACATTTCATGCTCCCATGTCACTTTCTTGAATGAAGTACATCATCCTATTTTTCCAATAGGCATAATTAGCCCCATTGAAGAAAGGAGGCTTGTTGACGGGCATCGAATCGAGACCGAAGTCAAAGTTTGAAGTAGAGGCCATTGATGAGTTTGATTATCGATATAACTCTTCCCGAATCGACTCAAGAGGTGATTAAACCTTCAAATGAGTTAGGCTCTAATACCAATTGTTGAGTTAATCGATTGACGGAATCGGCCAAGAGGGGGTGAATTGGCAATAAAAATTTTGGTGGAAGCTTTTGCAGAAAATTGAAAGAAATTGCACAGCGATTTAGAGTGGTTCGACTTTCTCAACCAAAGTCTACGTCCACTACCTTAGCTATCCACACTAAGGATTTTCCACAAATTCACTAATTTGTCTTTCTTTTGAGGACAAAGAGTAACATTACAAACCCTCAAGAATTATACCCCAAATTCTTGAGAACACTCTCTCTCAAAGAGAACAATACAAATTTGCAAACTTACAAGGAAATCCTCACAAGGTAGATTGTTTGCACAATTTTAGAACAAAGAAAAGAACACTCAAGAATGAATACAATTGAGCACAATAAGTGTTCTTGAAATCAAATTGAATATTGAATGAAAAATAGGCTTGAAATGCCCAAACTTGAGGTTTGATGCTTTCTCTTTGATTCTTTCTTGATTCTAGTTGCTTGTTGTTTTTGTTATTGATCAATGGCTTCTAAGCTTGCTTAAATACACCTTGAATCACTTCTGAACGTTGGGGATCATTAATGAAGTTTTTGGAACTGTTTAAGTGTGAAAACAATTAATATTTCTGCTTGGAGCGTGAGGGGAATCGGTACCCCTTAAGAGGAATCGGTTCCCTAAGTGTAAAATTCAAATATTTCGACCGTTGAACAGTGGGGGGAATCGGTTCCCTCCGAGCATACTGGAATTCTCGAAACCAAACCATTGAGGGGGGAATCGGTACCCCTTGTGGGGGAATCGGTTCTCTCTGAGCAATCTGGAAATTTTGGCTTTGAAATGGTTCGAAATATTTTGTAAAATTGTTTTGAAATTATTTTAAGACTAAAACTTAATTTTACACTTGAGTAAGAATTAAAAATGACATTTGATAGATTTTGAGTAATATTTTGATATTCGAATAATTATATCGAATATACTTAGAAAATCTTTATAGAAAATCTTAAAATTCATTTAACTTAATTTGTTATATCGAAATATCAAAATGTTTTCAACAAGCCTGACCACCGATTGATCCGCTCTATTATTCCCCCAAGTAAAACTACCACCACTCAAAGGAAGATAAACCAGATTCGCATTCTTAACAAATTCAGAAAACACCCTAATTGAATGAGAGTTTTGAGACCTACCTACTTTTTCTTCCAGATTCAAATAAGCGTTAAAATCCCCACCTACACAGATAGGCCAAACAACTTGATCAATAAAGGAGTATAGCTTATCAAAAAACCTTCATTTTCTGCTTCAATAGAAGGATCATACACGTTGACAAACCAACACTAAGAGCATGTTTCTTTAAATTTTCCTAAAAACGCTACAAATCTATTAACCACAAACTGATTCATTACTTCAATCTTCTCCTCGTCCCATAAACTTAACAACCCACCTGCAGACCCCACCGACGAAACCACAGCACATCCTTGCAATAACCTCACTCACCTTCTCCTTTCTCCCCAAGCCCCGCACATTCCATGTAAGACACGAAAAATTTAACTTTTATAAATAAAAACCCAAATACCACCACAGGACATGACAGACATACCAAACTTAACAGTTCACACCTACCCCCACCTCCCCAAAATGGAAAAAGAAACACACAGACAAAACAAGAACAATCCAACACACTTTTGTGCTCTAAAATTGTATTTAAATTCTTGTCATGTATATTCCTATCATTTTGAGTGACAAAGCATTAGGAAAATAATCATTATTACATTGATGCAGAATGCAACAATATTTAAGAAAAATAGTAACAAGTGCTTTTACCTTATCAAAGATAATAGGAACATGACGACCATAAGTCATAGGAACAATAGCCATTTTACCAACATATTTGGAATAACGCTCATCCTGAACAAAAGTAATGTGTCAATCATACAAGGGCATAGAGTTCTGAAGTTATACCTTAATGTGCAAGTTTTGCTGGCAATATAATGTGCAGGGAGAAAATGAAAAGCATAAAATAAAGGTGATATACCTTAGGATTCACAGTAATTGCTACATCACCAAATAAAGTTTCAGGTCATGTGGTTCCTATTGTTAAGAAACCACTCCTATACAGAACAAATATTTAAGCATCAGTCGCAACACATGGCAATACTAATAAGGTAGATTCAAGATGATCTATTTAAGGACATATTACAATATGAATTGAAAGTATATATAATTTTATATTACAATCAAAATCAGAATAATATAAGTATAGAAAGGAGATTCCCAACCACTTAGTTGCCAAATTTAACACCCCAATATGGCTAAAATTTTCAAGCTCTCAAAGTTACATGACATTCCCTGCCTTCTCTCCATCCTATATCTTTTAACTATGATGATTATTAATCAAGTTGTCTTACTGCTTTTTCCCCTTTGATTTACTAAAGTCCATTCATACTATAAGAAAAAGTAAGCAAACACATAAACAAACACCGAATAAAACTAAATACCTTGAACCTCCAGCGACTCGATACTTGATATGATAGAGGGTGCCAGGCTCTTCAGAATATTCTACTTCCTAGGGAGCCATTGAAATGACAAAGTTGAATGATAAACAATGCAAAACGAAGAGCAGAAAAGACAAGCAATATCCTCATGAAACAAACATCCATACCAAGTCTGAAACAACAGTCTGTAACTTTGGAGACTAGTTAACCATGTAAGATCCTAAAAGAAAATATCATATCATTTAAACTAGGTTTAGAGTACTATTGTGCAAGGGACAATCAAATAAAATCAGAAAAAATCTGAGCTGAGTTGTATAATTGTATACTTAATAAAATTAAAGAATAAACAAATAAAAAAAAGAAAGTAGCCTCCACATCCTACCATCAAGCACCAGAGAATCTATTCAGGTCACCATGAAAAATAATTGTATTTAAGTTCTAAAGGGAACCTCTAAGTTTAAAACCTCCTTCCCTTAAAGTCTTTTGCTGAGCTATTTTTAGATCAGACTTTGTATATGTGTATGTACAAAAATGGAAGTACAGACAAGTTTATTTACATCAATTCCATGTTACCAAGTGGGACCAGTCAATAGCCACTACTTGAATTAGAAGTCAAACTGAAACATAGGTACACCTACATCAATGAATTCCAAGGGGTAAAAGATATACAAAATCCTTTTTAAATACTAATACTAGTCTTTATCGTTTTCCATTTGATATGGTAATTTCTTTAAGCTTTTTGAATGGAAAGATAATATTTACATTCTATTCTTTTTCCCACTATAGACAACTAAAGCAAATGAGAAAGAATAGAATATTAAGATCAAATGTATGCTGCGTGGGGATTGTGGCATAGGTTTCTGAATTTGTGGAAGATATCAGTTGTCATGCATGAAAATGCATATTGCTTTCTTTCACCTTGGGAGGAATTGGTGCCTCATTCAGCTATTTGGACTTCTATTCCTGGTGTAGTTTTGTGGACGATTTGGAAATGTAGGAATGCCATTGTTTTTGAGAAGGGAGTGTTTGATCCAGTTCAGTTGTTCTTCACAGCAAGGTTCAAATTAACAGCTTGGTTCCTAGCAAAATTCACTAATATTACCATTTCGATGGATTCCCTCATTGGTGATCCCTCTCTTGGAGATCTTTGCTCTGCCCCAAAAAGTCAGCTAGCAAATCAGATTTCTCCGTCCCCTCCCCCGGTTGGTTTTCTAAAGTTGAATGTGGACACTGCTGTCAAAGGTGATTGGAAGGCAAGCGGTTTAGGAGGAATTCTAAGAGATAACTCCGGCACAGTACTAGGATCCTTTCAAGAAGCTTCTGGTCTGGGTCCTCCATCTTTGATGGAATTAATGGCCATTAAATCTGGATTACTTTTCTTCGAATCTTCTATCTGGTGTTCTAAGGGATGGTTGATTATTGAGAGCAATACTAAATTGTGTGTGGAGTGGATTAAAAACTTGGATAAATGCCCAAGTATGTATGTTTCAATCTCTAAAGAAATTGTGGATAAGATCAGAAACTTGAAGGGTATTATTTGTTGGATAGCTAGGTCAGAAAACTTAGAGGCTAACGTTTTAGCAAAGACAGGAATAGGTTAAGATAGGGAGTGTGGGTTGGTTTTTGTTTTTTCTTGTCTTTTGGTTTATATCTATTGTATGGGGGCAAAGTTTCGTTGTACTCATATGCTATGTATTGCTCTTTGCCTATTTCAATTAATAAAATTTGAGGCACTCTTTTCCTCCTTCCACTGATCTATGGAATACCTTATGGTGTTCTAGAAATCATGAAGGGGGTTTTTAAAAAAGCCTCCATTTCTAAGCATGTTAAATATCAGTTAGCAAAGTGCAAAATGGTAGTAATCAATGGAATTTTGACATATACCTTGATAAATTAATCCTTTCTCATGAAGTCTAACAAAAGCCTCAATAACAGCTCCTGCAATAGGAACGCAAGGTTCAGAATAAATGAACTTACCCTACTGATATTTCAACAATGTAAGTCCCTGATTAGTACTTTATAATTACCACTACTATTGTTATAACTTCACACATAATTTAAAAGACTTTGAAGACTAGCTAGATGTTTCTTGTTTTTGATCAATGGCTTATAAGCTTGCTTAAATACACCTTGAATCACTTCTGAACGTTGGGGATCATTAATGAAGATAATATAGTTATTTTAGTGTGAAATCAATTAATAAAATAGTTTGGAGCGTGGGGGGAATCGGTACCCCTTAAGGGGAATCGGTTCCCTAAGTATAAAATTCAAATATTTCGACCGTTAAACAGGGGGAATCGATACCCCCTGGGGGGGAATCGGTTCCCTCCGAGCATACTGGAATTCTCGGAGCCAAACCATTTAGGGGGAATCGGTACCCCCTTGGGGGGGAATCGGTTCCCTCTGAGCAATCTGGAATTTTTGCCTTTGAGATGGTTCGAAATATTTTTTAAAATCGTTTTGAAATTATTTTAAGATTAAAACTTAATTTTACACTTGAGTAAGGATTAAAAATAACATTTGAAAGATTTGGAGTAATATTTTGATATTCGAATAATTATATCGAATATACTTAGAAAATCTTTTTGGAAAATCTTAAAATTCATTTAACTTAATTTGTTATATCGAAATATCAAAATGTTTTCAACACAAAGTATGGCAGAATATTATACAATACCTCCCCCAAACTTGAAGGACGCATTATCCTAAATGCATGAAATTAAAACTACATGAATCTATATGCAGATTCGAAAAATGAAAATTAAAAAATAAGTAGAAACTCACTGTGGTGGGGTAGCTTCATTGGACGCCCTCATTCGACGTCGTTTAGGAGGAGAGGGACTCTAGGATCCCGAGCCTATTATTGTTGGCGAGGGAGATGGCTGAAGTATACAACCCGCAGTTCTCTTATAGTGCTTCTTGCTGGCCAAGTCTCGTGTTGGAGTTGACTGCTCGACAGTAGGAGTTGGTTGTGATGGAACTGGTGCTGGACTAGGAACTGCTACTGGGACTGGTGTAGCTTTATTGATAGGGGGACATAATGGGATCTTGCGTTGGTTGCGGCGGTGTTGGAGTAAAATCTTCATCGGTGAAGAACTGGAGTGGAGTATTATCACTGTTTTCGGAGGTTGAAAAGGAGGAAGAACTGAGGAATTCTTCTGTGTCACCTTGGCATTCCTGTGGTATAGGTGGTACTTGAGTTGATAGTGGTGGTACATCAACGGGTACTTCTGGGGAAACGTCTAGAGGGGCATTCGATGTCAAGGCATGGAATGTGCTGTCGCCCACATTGTATTTGAGAATAACAGTGGGGAAGGTCGGTAATCTGATGTTTGTGTTCGGGAGCAACTCCTTGAAAAAGGCGTTGAGTTGCATGTCCCTAGCCTTGACATACTCGAAGTAAATTTCCATGTGGTCCTCCAGGTGACTGATCCTTTCACGCGTTTCTCGAGTGTGCATGACCACAACAGCCATTCTAGCTGCGACAACCGATTTTGCTCCTCGCTCCAAAACTTCCTGTGGGTTGTCGTCATTGAAACTCATCAACTCGGGGACTTTTTTCCCGGTAATACCCTCCTTTGGTTTAATGTAATCCTCAAAGTGATCCTCAAGAACCTTCTTCTTATTACATAATACGGTTATCAAGTTGGGAAACAGAAGGTTACCTTGGTTCCTCTTGGCACATTCATGGATCTGCTCAAAAATGAGTTCTCCAATGTCAATCTTCCTCCCGTACATGATTTAGTGCAAAAGCAGGTGTCTCTTCATGAGGACTGTGGTGTTGTGGGATGTTGGCATCAGCTTGCCTTTGAGAAACTGGTTTCACAACTTCACGTGCGGGTTTAGTACTCCTCCACTTTTCCCAACTTAAAGTATCGGTTGAGTGCAGAGGGGGAAAATCGAATGAGCTTTCCTCAAACATAAACTGTGTGGATAGACATGTCCTCGAGATGGGCATAGAATTCCCATACCATCGTCAGTGCTACAGCTTTGGGATTACGAGCAAACTTCTCCCTGTTGTGTTTCTTCCTTGACGGATCCATCTTCCAAATAGACTTGACATTTCTGAAAATTTTTGAAGCGTGCTTCTGCTGTTTGGAAATGTTCGAAACTTTGTGTTGGGACTGGGGCTTTCCTTGTTCTTACCATTTTTCTTGGTTGATATCAGTGGTGATGTTGGGGAGAGAAAAAAGAATTTCTTGCTTAGTAATGAGAGGTTGAGGCACGATGAAGAAGAAGAATAAGTTATTGAACAGTTTGTTTCTTTGGAAAGTAATAGGTGGTTTCGGGGTAGTTTTGTCCTTTCTTGGAGAGAAAAATTTGTGAATTAATGAGAGATATATGATTGGACATAAAGTGGGGGAAAAAGATTTCGTTCCCTCTTTATTCTGCAGCCAAAACCATGCATCCTAGGGTTTCTTCTCTTCTCATGCATGCTCTTATTCCCTATGCAACCACGTGTTCTTTGGTTTCCTACAATAAATAAAGAAAATAAAATAAAACTGATAATGAAAGATGAAAATATCTTAATTTATTTATGTACAAAATTCAAATTTTCGTTGCCTAGGTAACAAAATTTTGTTTAAGAAAGTAAAGCAAACTCTTGAGCATCATGTGCCAACGATGTCGGTTTGTCGCGCATGACTGGGGCTCCTTTGTACTCCTTGAGTCTCTGCCCGTTCACCTTAGAGATGGAACCATTGTTTTGGTTCTGGATTTTAATTGCTCCATTGTAATTGACTTCATGTATAATGAATGGTCCGGACCATCGTGATTTTAACTTACCTGGGAATAACTTAAGACGTGAATTAAAGAGCAGTACTTGTTGTCTAGAATAGAATTGCCTCGGCAGTATTTTTCTGTCATGCCATCGTTTTGTTTTCTCATTGTATAGGCGGACATTCTCGTATGCGTGTGCTCTGAATTAATCCAACTCGTTAAGCTCTCAGTGTCTTCTTTCTCCAGCAAGCTGAGCATCCATGTTTAGCTTCTTGATGGCGCAGTAGGCATTATGTTCAAGTTCAACCAACAGATGACATTCCTTTCCATAGACCAGTTTGAATGGTGACATTCCTAACGGTGTCTTGAATGTTGTGCAATAAGCCCATAGTGCTTCATCTAGCTTCGATGACCAGTCCTTTCGATTCGGGTTGACCACTTTCTCAAGGATCTGTTTAATTTCCCGGTTATATACTTCAGCTTGTCCATTCATTTGAGGGTGA